AGTACACAAAAACAATAAAAGTCAATATAAAATTGAAAAAAAAAACACCCCAGTTTACTGTTTTGGGCTTTACTCCTAAATCTCTGATCCCCCTTGAGTTGATTTTTGTTTATGGTGTGAGATGTGGATCCTGTTTTGTCTTTCTGCAGGTGCAACGCATCTTTTGATTTCTTGGCTGCTGCTTCCATGCGTGTTGATTCTGGATCCAAGTAAAATTAAATCATTAACAACTTCAATTTTTCCCATCAACATTTAACAGTAACTTTATGATGATTTTTTTTAAAATTACCTTTTCATGTAGGAATTTTTGTAGTTTGAGGATTATCAGTTGGATAACTTTGCCCTAAATTTACTCTAACTCTACCCTACCACCCGGCAAATGTTTTGATTCACAAATCAGGAAATGGACATTTTAATGCAATATGTTTTTTATCCAGTGAGTGACTAGCAATGTTGCAGGTGCCAAAGGATATTAGACTCACTCTATGACTATACCTTCAAAGTATGTCCATGATCTAGTATTTAGTATCACTTCAGTGGATATTCCACTGGTCCAAACCACCATTTACAGACCTTTGGTTACATAGTCCCTTGGGATTTACTCTACTAACCCAAGTTTGGCAGTTCAAATCCACCAGCAGCTCCACAGGTGAAAAATGGGCCATCTCCTCCTGTAAGATTTATAGCCTCAAAAAACCCACTAGAGGGCCAGCTAACAGTGGGTTCCAACTTGACAGTAAGGAGAGTGAATGAGCGAGGCCTATTACATAATTTTCTTGCTTCTATTTTGTGTCCCTGTTTGTGTCTTCCCTCAGCATAATCTTTCCAAGACAATCATAACCCTCTTCTGCTCAAAACATGTACAAAGTTTCTCATATGTATCAGTTTCCAAAGCACACACCCCCTCCCTATGAGTCAAATTCACAGGTCCTATAAAACAGTACAGAACTGTAAAGCAGGATAGGGTTTCTAGGGCTGTAAATGGAGGAAGAATGTTGCAGTTGCCCTCTAGGACTGATCACTCCTTGAAGAAATCTGATAATACGGAAGGCAACCAGACAAGTGGATCCTAATAAGGCTCTGGGCCTGATCACAAAAGTCCACACCCTAGTTAAATGACAGGACCTCCGCCCCAAATTCCAAGAAAAATACTACTTTCCCTGTTGTTGTTGTTATGTGCCATCAAGTCGAAATAGTCCTTGTCCACCCTCACTCCATTTTGACCTTCTCCATTCAAGGTCACTTGGTGACCCTTTCAGACAGTGAAATAAAGACCTGTTCGTTTCTTGGGACCAGCTTCTTTCTCTCTCGATCTCTTTTTTCCTATCTAACAGTACATCTCTATAGGAGCAAACTGCCTCCTTTTTTTTCTAGTGGAGCAGCTTATGGTTTTAAACCACTGACCTTTTGATTAACAGCCAACAGCTTTAAACACTGCTCCACCAGGACTCCTCGATTTTCCAACAGAGAGAATGTATTACAGGAATTGGTTACAAAGATAACTAACAGTTGGAAGTCACAATCACTCATAAGCTGGGGTACAAAGGGGCGGGGGGGAATCTACAATTAGCACAGAGCTGCCTGAGCCAATGTTTCCAGCTGCTGTCGCTGCAGCTGCCCTGTGGAGAAAGCTGACGGGAGTGTGATTTTTGAAGAGGAAGTCTCCCTCCTTTCCTTCTTTCAGTCTCCTGCCAGTACCTCCCACCGGCAGGAACCAGTAAGCAGGGAAGGCTGGGAAGCATAGTTTGCAGGTTTCCTGTCCCCATCCTGCCCGAAAAGGGCTTGGAAGGATAATGTGCACAGCTGACACAAAACAGACATTATTCACAGCAGTAGTACAGGTAGTTCCCGGGCTACAAACGTCTGACTTACAGACAACTCCTCCTTGTCCTTTGCTATAGTGTTGTTAGGTGTCATTAAGTCAGTTCTCACTTATATCATTTCTCTGCAAAACATTGTCAGGTCCAAAACCGCTCTTACAAGCATTGTCAGGTGTGAGCTCCCTGATGCAGCCATGGTGCCAATTCATCTCACTGAGGGTCTTTCTCTTTGTCACTGACTATCTTACCAAGCAGGATATCTTTCTCTAGGGACTGACCCCTCCTAATAATATGTCTAAAGTACATGAGACAAAGTCTCAGAATCCTTGCTTCTAAGGTGAGTTTAATTGACTGATATCTTCCTACTGTTTCAGAACCAACCCATAAGTGACCCTCCAGTGAGTTTTCAAAGGCAAGTCTAATCACACTGGAGGAGATGGCCCATCTTTTCCCCATGGAACAGTTGGTAAATTTGAACCTTGTGCCTCTGGGATAGCATAGCTCCTTACCACTAGGCCACCAGTGCTTCTAGATTCCACTAGACTCCCTGTTGTTGTTGTCATTGTTAATTTCTGTCAAATTGAGTATGACTCCTAGTGACCCTATGAACAGCAGACCTGAGCCCTGTCTTAGCCTCATCAACTCTGACACATTTAAGTCCATTGTTGCAGACAATCCATTGTTGCTTCTATCCATCTCATTGACAGTCTTCATCTCTTAAGGTGTCCCTCAAACTTTCCAAGCATGATGTCACCTTCCAACATGCCCAAAATGTGAGAGATGCAGTTCCACCATCTTTGCCTCCAAAGAGTACTTTGGCTGTAGTTTTTTGCAAGATATATCTGTTCATTCTTTTGGTAGTCTATGAGATATTCAGTCCTCTTCTCTAACATCACAGCTTAAAGGTATCAATTCTTTTCCTCTCATCCTTATTCATTGTGACTCTAGTGCTCAGTAAATAAATAAATTAATAAATGGATATACATATCAGAAGTACATGCCGTGATGGGATGCATTAAAAGCCTGGGTTTGGAAATAGTAACCAACAATGCTCAGATCTCTAAGTCCATGCAAAGCTAAGTTACATGCCCTCTCTATGTGCTTCTCATCACTCATCTTTCTGTTCTTCTGTGGTGGCTTCTCCATTGCTATGATGTTAAAAGCTACATAAGTATTTCAAATACTGGGTAAGGTCTTCCATTGTGGATAGGTTTCAAGGGAGCTTCCAAACTAACAGATTTGAAAGAAAAGGCCTAGTGATCTACTGAAATGTTCTATTCCTTCTTCATGTCATTGACTTCTGACACATCACCAGAAGGGATCAGCTGCTGGAAGATATGTTTGGTGAAGCAGATAGTGAGGATAAAGTCCAGTGAGGATGAAGAAGCTTTTTGGTGGGATGGATTGGCATGATAACTGCCAGCACTTGACTTAATTAAGCATACTGGTGGTGGTGAAAATGCCGTAGGACCAGTCACAGCTTGTGCTGCTGTACAAGGGTGGTCATGAGTTGTGATTGACCCAGTAATACCTGCCTATTAATATATGTTTCTCTGTTTATCTATATGTTCTTCAAATGCACTGGCACTATACTGCAACTCTCTCTTTTTACATCCTCTCTCCCACTAAAGTTGTAAGTACCTTGAGTAACTAAAGCAATAGTGGCCATCTGTGTGCCCTGTACATCTAGTACTTAACGAGTGTCCTGAACTCAAACAGCACTTGCCATTGAGTGTTCCTGTCAGAAAACAGAATATTACATTTAAAGCTCCCTCAGCATCACTCCTTCTTCCGGTGTTCTGGAAGTCAGAAGAGACAATAGCTTATGGACTGTGATAAGACATCAATAGAGGCAGGAGAAGTATTCCAAAAGCACAAAAACACAGCGTGAGGTAGAAAGTCCTCGCTAAGAGAGATTAGAAAAAATTACTATGGTTTTGAAAAATATTTTATTTTTTTATTAGACATCTTTATATTGCCTGAAAAACATTCCATATGTTGAATCACTTTAACAGCTAAATATTAGAGATTAACAAACAAATAATGAAAAATTACTGTTATTAAAATCAACATAATTAACATAGAAAAGCAACCCATCTCAACTGTTATAGACATTCCAGTGCTTTTTCTAGGGATGTGGGGAGTGAATGCTAAGAGCTACAAAAGCGCACTAACAAAAGTGTTTTTCTAATTTTATAACTCACTTAAAAAGGAAAGAATTTTCCTTACTAGGTATATTTACAGTAGAATTACAATTTCTAAAGATTGATTAGTCTTTCTTTTGAAAGTTTCCATTAGATGCTTATAAAATACCCACAGCTCTTTATAAAGAGATCATGGCTCAATTTTCGACTTAAAGCAGATTTATCTACCTGGTAATAATTCAGGGAATGGAAGAAGTCATATCTCACACACGTACTTAAGCACCAAATTTATAATAAATAGCTTTGACTTGGCTTGCAACCTCAGTAGTTAGAGACAAGCAGAAATGTCTTAGCTCATCTTGTCCTACAGAAGCAGTGTTCCTCGCTGCCTGAACGATTATTATCTGAGCCTATTAACCAGGAGAGACTCGGGACTTAGAAAGGAAAGGCCTTCTCTGCTGGTCTACCTTCAGCGGGAAGCACTTACATCCTGTTTGCTTGCTGTGGTCCCCCAGTGCTTTCAGCAGTGGGCAACCCTTCCTTCTTCAGCTTAATTAGAAATTCAATTTTACTCGTATTGTTTGAAAGGCATTCAAAGCAACGGGAATCCAGATCTTCAGAAACCTACCTTTTTATTCTTTTCTCACTGAATAATTTTGCAAAGTAACCCCCCACACACACACACACATACACACACAAAATGACTTCAACCTGCTGCCTGAACATTTATTTGTTCACCAGCGCAAGGAGAAAACGGAGCTAAGTCAAGTGAGATACATACACTTGTTGCCGGAAGGACAATTTTAGAACCAGTTACAAAGCAGACTCTAATTCAAAAATGCCCCTGCCACTTGCACCCGCATGGAGATGTTATCAACTTCACGAAATGTCTTCGAGTAAATTGAGTTCTGCCAGTGGTGGAAGTAACCACAGCCGCTGTGGCCTCCTTGCTGGGTGAGGCAGGAGGAGGAGGGGGAAGTTTATTAGAAATAACTTTGGGGCGGTCATGATAAAAGTAGATGTGCAGAGGCTCGAACTACTGATTGCAAATCTGGCAAGGCTGCAGACCATTCTCATTGCAGGCGGGGCACCGCAGGGCCCGATAGGACTCCTTGAATCTGTTGGCCAGCATGGAGAACTTGCTGCCGTGGCACAGAGAGCAGGTGGCACTGCCCGACCCTCGGCAGTGAAAGCAGTTGTCCTCGGGAAGCTCCCCTTCCTGTAAGACACAGGGCAGGGTTCAGTTACAGCAGTAGTTCAAGTCCATTGCTCCAAAGCACGGCTTCAGCCAAACATCAGCAGAAGCAGAAGAGAATTCTCCCCACAAACACTCAGAGGGAACTGCTCAAGAGAGCAGAATATCCAGTTTTAGTTGAGATTTCTCTGATCTCAAAGACAGCATCCCCAGCCACCACTGTTTGCAAACTACCTTGTAGTGTTCTTCAGAGCCTTTTCCATCACCCCACATGTTATTTCTGTGTCTCCCACCTCAGACACACACCTAAAATGTGTATTGAAATCCCAATACCTAAACCTGTACAAAGGGATTGTGGATACGGAATGTGCTATGTGCTGGGCTGTCAATCAAAGAGCCGACAACTCAAATCCACCAGCTGCTCTTTGGAAGAAAGACGTAGTAAGCAGCCTCTTGCAAAGATTTATAGACTTGGAAAACTCAAGAGAAGCTCTTCAAGAATCAAAATGGATTCGAAGTCACTGAATTTTTAATACTTATCCACGTAACCTGGTCTAATGTCATGTAATCACTTCCTATAATACAATCTAGTGTAATGGGATCAATCACTTGGGATACTCCAGAGTACAGGGTGGCTACTAAACCTAATCACTTCTCAAGTGTACCAAGAGCAGCATAGACACAGTGACAGGCAAGCACCAATGGGAAGAAGACAAGAGCCATGTGAGGACTTTCCTCAAACCAAGGACACAAGGAATGCCTGGGGCTACCGACAGCGGAGGGACTGCACAGCCACTACCTTCATTAGCACTTTCAATCTCCATAACTGTGAGAAAATGTATTCCTGTCCCTCAAAGTCACCTACTTGTGGTGTTTCTGTCATGCAACATTAGAAAACTAAGAGTGTCCGTGAGGGCTGTTCTTCTTATTGTCAAATACTAACGATGGATACTTCGAACATGCTGAATAGGCTCCAGGCTCTAAGAGCTTTCTATATATTAATTAATTAATTACTTCTCTCAAATAAAAAAAATAGCATGAGGATTACCAACTTTACTTCAGTAAAATTCTAGAAGACAGATAATTCGCCTAATTCACATGGCTAAAGGCAATTAATTGACAAGGCTCTCAAAGTGGTCACTCCATGGGAGAGAGGAAAGATTGTGATCAAGAAAAAAACCCTGAATGTCTGGTGGCCTAGTGGCAAGATGCTGTATTGCAATCCCAGAGGTACGCGGTTCAAATCCACCAGATGCTCTGCTGGAGAAGGAGGGGGCAATCTCCTCCTGTACCAGTCAGATCTGATTTGACGGTACATGTAAAAATAATACAATAAAAATTAAAAAGAAAAAAGGAAAAAAAACCCAGAATGAATAAATCAATGCAAAAAACCTTCCAAGATTAGCATAAACTTCATATATTGTGGTTACTATTAGAGTCCACTAAGTGAATTTTGACTCATTGTAATCCATGCGTCTACTCACAGGTTTTCTCAGGGTTCCATTTTTATAGGAATATATAGGTACCAGGTCTTTCTTTTGTGGGTGGAATTGAACCACTAACCTTTTGGTTAGCAGGTGAAACCTTAGCCATTGTGCCACCAGGGCTCCTTTAAAAACTGTGGTGACACCTAGCAATTTAAGGACTGCGCTTTGAATGAGGGCCCGCCTTTGCCTTAAGCTGTGTTCCTTTAATAATCTCTTCACCTTGCCAAAGGTCAATGTCCTTATCTATAAAATAAGGGTGCTAGGACAGCAAGGAGTAAATGTTGGAGAGGAAGTAGAGAGATGGGAACTCTCATACAATGTTAGTGGGACTGTAAAATGGTACAATTACTCGGGAGGACGGTTTGACATTTCCTCAAAAAGCTGAACATAGAAATTCCTTAATATCCAGCTATTCCACTGCTGGGAATGTACACTGAGGAAAATAGAACTGAGACATAAATGGAGATTTGTACACTTATGTTAATAGCAGCATTATTCACAATAGCACAACATGAACACAGCCCAAATGTCCATCAAAAACAATGGATTGAGAAATTGTAGTACATTCACACAATGGAATATTATGGAGTGCTCAGGAGCAATGATTTCACAAAACACTATAAAAACAATAACACTGATGTCAAATGTGATAATGGTCACCCATGGTGGACAGTGTTTGGTGGAGCTTCCTGATTAAAACAAGCTTGGAAGCAGGATTGGCATCCACTTTTTTTTTTT